ATCTCCCTAATATCCCATCCTTCCATGAGAAAGCTATTACTTGACTTGCTGTGTTCTTAGTAAACTGAGTCCCAGAAGCAGTTCTGCAGCACGAATAAGATAACACAGTTAACAAATTGTGAAACCAGACCTAGAACACTGTTTTTCAGCTACCAAGATGTAAGTCTGCAGGCCATGTAGCCTGACATCATAATTAATCTATGAGTAGAAAGAGTGAAGTTTTATAACTACAAAAAGAAGACAGTCTCTACAGGAGAGTCTAGGGCAGCTGGCCCAGTCAGTTTTTCATCCTGTAGCATTGCAAAAACATTTTTTGTGTCTTACTCCATTTTTTAATCTAATCTCTTGTAACTGTAAAACTGCAAACTCACACCTTTATCCCTTCAGAATTGGTGTGTAGACCTTCTCCATGGTATTTAAGTTCACCTTTTTTTCTACAGCTTTCAGTGCGGCTTATGCTTCTCCATACCAGTATCTCCTATGGGGTTAGCTATGGACATGGACTTTCGAAACCACTCATGTCTAAGCCAGCTGTGTGTCCTGCTGCAGGTCGAGTGAGTACAGTGCAGCCAGGGAGAGTGAGAGGCAAACACTGTTCATTCAATGCCAAAGTTGCTGCAAACTTACCTCCAGTTTCTTTAGCTCTTGAACTATTTGCAAATGCTCTCTTTCTCACACACACACATGCATGCACACACACAGATAGCTGTTAGGAAAGGCTCCCAGAAGTTTCACTTTCTAGGTAGAAATACTTGGACACAAAAGAAGATTTTGTAAAGACGTAATTATTTCAAATGCACAATTATGTCAGTTTGCTTTTATAATCAAAGCACTGCATGAATTTCAAAGTAAATACAGTCTTTGCTGTGTTAGAACACTACAAAGTCACTGTCAAAAAATGAAGTAGGGACAGCTTCAGCAAGAAGGTGTAAATCTCAAAGGCCTAATGTTTTGATGCATGACCCCTATTAGTAACGTCCTAAGGAAGTCATACCTAATTGATGTCATCCATTATCTGTGTGACATTTTATGATATGTAAAGACACAGGAGGGAAAGGAAGAGATCTAGCAATGACTGGGCACCTACTAAGTGGCAAGACCTAAGTGTACTTCTTAATATTTTCTGTCATTACATTCTCACAACAGTTTTCCACTATAAATGTTATGCACATTTACAAGCTGACAGAAATGAGAAACAGGTTAATAATATTGCCAAGGTCAGACACCTAGTACTTTTTGGAACCAGGCTTTGAGTTCCATTCTACTAGTTGCCAAAGGCCACAATCATTATCTATTTTCAACTGCATATGATTAGCAATGTATATACTATATTCACCTTGGAAGATTCATACATTGATCCAGAAAATGGGAATTGCATGACCTTGCTTCATTTATTCATTTGTTCCATTGATGTATTCATGCACTTAGAAGCAAGTACTAACTTTTAAAAGTATTTTTTCTCAAGTTCAGAGATGAAATGCATTGGTGTATATATAATAAGACTTGTTACTTAAATATTATAAAATTAATTCCAAAAATTGTTTTTACAAAAAAAAGACAATAAAAATATTTTGCTTCTACTGTGCTAGTCTTTTAAATAAAGGAGACTTTTATTCAATGAATAATCCCAAGTGTCAGTAGGCTAACATAATATAAGTTTATCTGTCTTTTACTTTACAGTCCAAATGTATTGGTCAATAAATAAAGTGAGTCGGGGAAGGCTTCTGCCTCACAGTCTTTCAGGGATCCAAGCTCTTTCCTTTTTGTAATTCTAAGTTCAGTACATATGATCCCACAGGGAGAGACCATGTGTAAGGCATGTATGGCACAAAAAAACCTTAAGCAGAAGTGGCACCCATCATTTTGGTAATATTACAATAGCCAGAACTGGCCACATGGCCCCACCTTGATAAAAACAGATGGGGAATGTGTTCCTGATTAGAACCCCTTCCCAATAATAATTCTAAACCATGAAAAAAACAGATAAATTTTGTGGTGGTCTGAAAGTCATTTCTTTCACCGTCATTCTTTCTGGTCACCAAATATCCAAGTGCACCTGTTAGGTTTCTATTACTACCTAAAAAATGATAGCAAACTCAGAGCCTTCAAATGACCATCTTAAATTTTCTATAGGCCAGGAGTTCAAACATGGCCCAGCTGGACTCTTTATCCAGATTCTCACAAGGCTGCAATCAAGGTGAAGGTCAGCTGCGAATTCTCATCTGGAGGCTCAACTGGATGGAACTCTACTCTCTAGTTCTCTCAAGGCACTAGTGGAATTTATTTGCTCTGGAGATAGGATTCAAGGCAGCATCCTTCACAGCCAGCAATGGAGAGAGAGATTCCAGAATGTGTCTGCTACCAAGCAATCTTATATAATGTAACATAACATGGCAGCAATATCTCACCACAATTGCCATGCACCATAATATAATCATGGGAGAGGCTTTTCATCTCCTTTGCTATTGGTGATTAATGATTGTTATTGGTCTCTGGACTAGAAAGAAGTAATTGCTTTTAATAACTCCAGGGGAGTTTATTCAGGGGTGTGAATTCCAGAAGGTGAGAACCATGGGGGCCACCAAAACAAATTTCTTTCAATCACAGAAAACATTCTGCTCTTCCCCAGTGAAGAAAACCAAACATTCCATTCAGTCACTAGGTTTAACTAAAAGGACAGGGTTTCTGGGTTAAGCATAGTACATGCCATTGATCTGGATGCAGCAGCTCTGTATCCAGTAACCTATGAAGTAAAAACATAAATTATCTGTTTCCATATGCCAACACACAAATCACAAAATTACAAGATGAAAGAGAGTCCAAAATGACCATAATAAAGCATTTTCTTCAAAAAATGGGGGACTAAAACTTCCACAATAGGCTCCAGTCAACAGTGGTTGTGGGATCCTGCTGGGTGTATGTTGTAAAGATGTCTGTTTTGAGAGTGGAAAGTTACTTGACTGGGCACTGCTTCCAATCTCTCCATGAGGGTGAGACCCCCCACAAGCCACCAAACTCTTTCCCCAGTTCTGCGCTTCATAGTCCCTTGGACACATTCAAAGTGGGTATCGGTTATCTTGGGAGATGTCTTCAATGGTAAAGGGAGATCTCAACCAATTTCATCTAGTCAACAACATTATTGTCAGGAATAGTTTCCCTCAATAACTTAGTCAGCTGCTGATCTATTGGCTTCCAGTTGGTTTCATGTACCAGGTACTACATCTAAACTCTTTCTTAAGCATCATTTTTAAACTTGCATATAGTCTTCCTGTTTTTAACACCCTGCCCACCCACCCCTCTGTCCCTGTTAGCTTATTGGTAACTTTAGGCTCTCAGGATTGAGTAAGAAGGCTATATACCCTTCATCTGATGTTTTTACAATGCTGGCTTCTAATTGGCTTTCTCAACTTTATTCTCTGCTGTTTTAAGTTCAGAAGAAATAGGTTTTTCTTCCAACTGAGGTCTCAGATTTCTAGACTATTCTTTTTTACTTATGCTTGTAAGCCAGTTGATTCTTTCCTGAATTAATTTCCTTTTCATGCCTTGATATGGTTAATAACTACCAGCACACATTGCTAATATTCTGTTTTACCGAATCCTCCCCTAGAGCTACATGCTGGTTTGTGACAATGTAACATGATAATCATCATTCTAGCCTGTAACATCCATCTCCTTTCCACCCACTAAGCCACAGTGTCATAGAGATTTATTTTCTTAGGCAACTCCCTATTTCTGATACCATATATTCAATCAGTCAGAGTTTGACCAGTAAAATACAAATCACTCCAGAAATTTTGAACAAAATACTATTTAATACAGAGATTTAGAGGCTTATAAAACCATTGAGGTAGTTGACAGTGTTGGGGATCAGCATTTTTATATATGCAGTTACATATTACTTGGTAAGACTTAATCTTCTTCTAGCTAGCATTACTGCCACTGAGTTGAAAAGACAGATTTATATGAAACATAATAAGTATTTATGGAATTAATTAGTCACAAAGCCATAGTTCCATTCCACAGTCTTGAGGATGAAGTTTAAGGTCAGAATATCTGCCAACTGGATGCAGGATTTCATCTACAGAATATCTGATATAAAAATAATAATGATGAAGTAAAGACAATACAATATTTCTTGTGATTATTTTACTGCAGGTCCTTGGTATTTCTACGGGAGCATGTGTGCATTGCTGCAATTCTGCCAAGGGGGATAAAAACACCCAGGATCTCTTCTTAAACTTCTTCATGCCTAATGATCCGAAAGGAGATATCCAGTCTTTGTGGCCGAGGGGTGTTATTCAAATAAACAGAAAAATAAAGAGTAGCCCGAAGGCATATAGAAGCTCCGAGAGCCCACACTGACGGAGATCACCATTTGGCCAACCTCATAGGAAAGTAAACCACTTTTATGTTCTTTCACATGTGTAGAAATATGATTTTGATTCTGCCTTTGAATGATTCTGTCACTTAGGGACTGTGTGATCTTTTGGGAGCTACTTAAACTTTTGAGTAGGGTATCTTCATCATGAAAGATGGGGAATTCCCATATTTCAAAGGCATAATAGGAATTCAATAAAATTAATAAAGTGAATACTCAATAAAATGTAAAAGATTTTGCATTACTGAAGGATGAAATGAAGAGATGTAAGGGGAAAAATGTGAGAAATGAAAAGAATATAGAACATAAAAAAAGGAAGAAATATTGATCATGAGAAGACTGTAAACTCAGGAAAAAGTTATAACAAGGATGGAGTGCAGAGGGATTATTTTTTCTTCATCAACCAAGTATACAGTCTCAGACAGATTGTCAACACCTGAAAACCACAATCAAAAGGTATACTTCTCAATAGAGCGGTAAAAACATACTGTCTTAACTGTAAGTTGCTGAGAATGTTAAATTTCTGAATATAAGATACTGCAGACATTGGCAATCACAAAATTAAATAACAGCAAAAAATCAAAACAGAATGGTATTTCATTAACTTCAAAAATAGAACCTCAACAGTTCTCAAAGGGCTGACAAAGTATTTCCCAGTGGCTTCAAGGTATGTGTTAAACATACTGAAAATTCTTAGTTTCATAAAACTCCACATGGTTCCTCATAAAAATATTCAGGAAAGTTTATTAACACAATAAAAAGTAATTTGTTTCCAAAACAATTGTTTTGGAAAATGCTTCAATGATCCATGAACCCTTAGAAAAGCATTTCTTCTGTGGAGAAAAAACAAAATGTGATGAGCAGGCCTTCATTTTGAACAGATCGAGCTTCAAGTCCTAATTTTTCTATTTTTACACCTTTGAATCCTCAGATATTTTACTGAAACTTCACCTGTAAAATGGGAGAAAAGGTGGTGTTGGAAGTATTGAATGTGACAATAAACGTATGGAAAACACCTGCTACAGTGTATATGCTCAATTCACAGTAGTTATTATAACTTGATTTGAATCCCAAATGCTAATGTATACTCTGCGATTCTATCACTATGCTACATCCACTACAACTCATTTAAAAATAGATCAACAGAATGGTTAGCATTCGTCCTCAGTGTGCTCTCTGTTTGTGTCTTATCTTCTTATTCTCTGTCAAACAAAATTCACTTTCTTTGCTCATCCCTCGCAGAGATAAGGCAACCCCAGACCCCAAGGCTCAGAATGATTTGGTTCAAAAAAGAGACCAGTAAGTCATGTTGTGTCACACATGAGACCAACTCACCTTATTAAATCATAACAGAAAACATTGGGAGTAAAACTGAAAATGATTTATAAAAAATGAGAAGGGACTTATCTTTGTAAGAAAGAAGACTTTGGTGGATTTTTCAGACTCTCAGAATGTGATTGTGTTGATGAGTACCAAACCCACCGAATCAGAGTCTGTACATAGGGCCTCAGTTTTTCGTTATCTTGACTGGGAACGTAGCTTGCCCTTCATTAGACTCTCAAGACAATTTTCTCAAATAAGAAACCAAAAAATGTTATCAGAAGATATGAATTCGGAAAATGCAAGTGGCTATTTGATGAAAATCAAAGCTTCACCACATTCAGGAGAGTTCCCAGGCTACATGTCTCCTTCTTCCTCCTTTCCTGAATTAACGACCTTCTTAGAAAAGCCAGTCTCTTCATACACTTTAAATGTCTCCTTCACAATCTTTGCCACATTTGCTTCTTCGTTTCAGTGTCCTTTTTCATGGCATGCTCCCATATTCATTTGCTGGTACTCATCTTCCACAACCCTAATCTCTCTGTGTCTCCCTCCCTGTCCACCTTCCCCCTTTCTTTCTCATGTGGGCACTTCATCTACTCACAATGTTTTCATGAGTACTTTTGTACAGATAAAACCAGGGTCCACAACATTGAAATTTCCTCCTCAGCTGCTGACCTTCCTTTCCACCCAAGTTCTCATTATCTCACCTGGATCACTGAGCAGCAAATGACACAAATTTCTTCATTCTTCCCAGGCCCTTTGACCTCCAAAGGGGCATTATGTCACAGTTCTTTAAGAAATTCCCAGCAATTGTGTTAAGCCCTTCTTGGTCAGGGGTTGAGAGCGGGGTCTTTTCTTTAACTGTCTATACATGACACCTTGTCCAAGGAGATATGGGGGTCCCACCCTATTATTAAAGGGCATGGTATTCACAGGTATTACCCTCCAGAGACCATGCCCATAAAAATTACATTCTACTGCTCTTGAGTCATCTACTTAATCATTCCTTATTCGTTCAGTCCACTAATATTGAATACCTACTCCATGTAAGTCATTTATCAGATGCTCAATAAATTGCAATTTCTCAGAGCCCAAAACTCTTTAGGCACTCCCCTTACTGTGTTACATCTAGTAATAGCTGCCTTGTTTTAAAATTGTTTGCATAAATGCATTATTTCTCCTCAATATTCTGCCTTTAGGGCAAAAGTATAAATTATCTATGTTTATATCCCCTATGATAAAAGGTTGCCCATAGTTAATCAAAAAATACTTGGCAAATGAATAAAGAGAATGTCATATATATAAAAACACACAATGGAATATTATTCAGTCATAAAGTGAAGAAAATTTTGACTTTTGCAACAACATGAATGGACCTTAAAGGAGTTATGCTAAGTGAACACAGACAGAGAAAGACAAATATCATATGATCTCAATTTTATGTGGAACCTAAAAAAAATTTTAAAGTAGTTCAAATGCAGAAAAAGGATCACTGGTTGTTAGATGTGGGGTGTGGGGGAAGTAGGCAAAATGGATAAAGATCGTTAGAAGGTATAAACTTCTAGTTTCAAAATAAGTAAGTCCTAGGGATGTAATTTATAGTGTGGTAGCTGTAATTAATAATGCTGCTTGTGTACTTGAAAATTGCTAAGAGAGTAGATCTTAAAAGTTCTCATCACAAGAAAATAATTAAAATGATGTGTGGTGATGGATGTAAACTAAACTTATCCTGGTGGCCATTGTGCAATATACAAGTATGGAATCATTGTGTTTCCAACAATTTCCATAATTCTAATCGTATTAATCACTTGAAATTAACAGAATGTTATATGTTAATTTTACCATAATTAAAAAATAATTGTCACTTCAGATGGACTCGAATGGCTACATTCAATGTGCATATGAAAACTAAGCAGGCAGCCCAAAATACTCATCTTGGGTGGCTCCTGACCTGCATACACCCCAGTCTTTAAAAAAGAGAGAGCCTCCGCCACAGAACCCAATTTCTAAGGCCAAGAGAGTAGAAAATTCACAGAAGATGGAATTTCTTAGTTCAAGTGTTCAAGTCCTGGGTCTGACCCACACTGATTTTATGAAGTCCACTTCTTATTTAACCACTTTGTTCCTCAATATCCTCATTGATAGTATGAGAAAATCATGCCTGCTTCCTACCTGTTGGTGTTAGATGAGGATTAAGTGGGAAAACAGATGAAAGTCCTGTATAAACTATAAACCACTATACAAATAAAGTAATTATCCCCCCAAATTATATAATGTCTAAATAAGATAGGTGCTGAATATATGTTCATTGAATTAATTAATTGATTAATAAGTATGTAAAGAATTGGTCTACTCTGCGTCCAACCCCCCAAGCCCACCCACTAAAGCAGCTTCTATGGAACTGAAAGATTTATTTACTACCTGTTGAGAGGTTCCTTACAGGTTTGAACTTTTTTTTTAATACCTAGAACTTTGAAATTTTTATTACTTAGAATGTTATTCTGCATGTTTAAATATACATTCACAGCAGGAAGCAATCTTGTGCTGAACAACAGATGATTAAGAGCCGTGGCTGATGTGGTCAGTTGTTCAGGCGGGATCTATTTTCATGCCTTACTGAACAACCTCCAGACTGTGTCAGTGAGGCCAGCTGAATGATGACTCCCAAGACCTCCAAACAGACAGAGAAGGTCGGTGAAGTATAAGTACAAGCAGAGAGTCCTTTAGAGGTATTTACTCAGCTGGCAAACACCCTTCTAATCCTCCCCTTCAGTTGCCCCTTCCTTCTTGAAACACCCACTGAAGTCTGGAGCTCCTGTGACGGTCTGTGGCCCATGAAGAAACCTCAGGGGCGAAGACACAGGCGCTGAGGAAAGCAGAGCCGAAAGGCGTAAGTGGCCTGGCTCTCTGAGACCGCCAGGAATGGATGACATCTGACTTTGATACTTTGTAAAAGAAAAATAAGTCATTATTTGACTTAGTGCCATTATTTCAGATCTTGGCTATTAACAACGAAATACAATCCCTAACTTTTCCAGGAGTCTCCTTTTCTTCAAAGTTTTATTTGCTGCCATTTAAACAAAAAGAAATGCCATATTAATCATTTTAATAATATAACTAATATATTTCAATAAACACATGAACCCAGGACACATCAGTAAGTGAAAAGTAAGCAAACAGAAAGATAAACTATCTCCACCATAATATTTACTAAGTATAGCACTTCCAAAACTGGAATTTAAGTTTTGTTTAAAATAGTATGATGGTGTTAAAATTTTATGTTTCCTTCACTGTATTATATAGTTTTAAATACTTTATTTTATAATCAATACATCTGCCACCTCCTGACTATTCTAGATTATCTCTGCATTAATGCTGCTGGGTTTTACTAAAGTGTTAATGAAACTTATATCCAGAAATTTTTAGAAAAATAAGAAAATGAATACTTGTTAAACTTCATTAAAATAAAATACTTGATAATGATGGTCATCAATAATTTGTGGGGAAACTACCTGACTACTACTGTTTTGACTCTGAAGAGGAGAGCTAGCAAAGGACACAGGACTTCTATAATGTATCTGAGTCTTTGAAGAAATTGTTCTTTGGTCACTTAATGTACTTAAGAAAACCACTAACTTAGATTATGTTTGGGGAAATTTGTTTACTACACCAGACTGGGCAGAATGCTTACTTGATAAAACTTTTTTGTCACAATCTC